TGGTTGTCTATTTGTCTTTGGCAAACTTACACTGACAGAGAAAACAACATGGCGGTAGACGATCAACCCGAGTCCAAGTCACAAAGCATTCCCAACTGCCGTGGGAAAATGCTTCCTGACACGACTGCTGGTTTACGACCTACCCGACTGCTTTGGCCATCTCAGTGGCTCGATAAAGACCAAACAAAACCAACAAGAATGGACAGAAAAGAAAAACACACAAAGGTGAAGGAAAAGGTGTGGGAAAGGGTGAAGGTAAGGGTCTTAAAGGACATAAGGGCGGCGGGAAGTCGGGCACACACAAACACACAGGTGAAGGGCGGGTTAGGAGATAAATACCAGAGCGGGTGAAGGGATGTTTCCTTTGGGGCTGGTGACTATGCTGTTTTTGGTGCTGTTTGTCTGGGGCTGTGCAGGAAAGGAAAGGAAAGGTAAGGAAAAGGAGGAGACACAACAAGAGCGTTAACAACAGCAAGAGGTGGGCTTGTGAGTGTGTGTCCATGCTTGTGCTCGTGTGTTTTTGGAATTAGCACATATATGTCTCTTTGACAGAATCAACTTTGAGGGTCTCACCTCAGTGGCTCTCACGTAAGGTAAAGAGTTAGGATTTGTCCTTTCATTCAGAAAAAACTCAATGCAACATTTTGATATTCATCGTTCAGAATTTATCTGCTGTTCTGTGTTACATTTATTTAATTTGTACCGTGCGGATCAGAGCAAAGTAGTAGGATACATGTAGGTGTGCATCCCAGTGAGGCCTGAAGGTGGCAGGCAGACGCAGCAACTGTGAAGGGATGATCCTAAAACGTTCACTCTCAAGACTGATTTGTAATTCTCAGGTGACACCACGGGCTGAGGGGTACTCTGACATCATCGTGATGTCACAAGTGACTTCCCCTGCTTGGGATTCCACATCAAGACGATTCAATTGTGCCGTTTGGCCGTAGTGAATCACCTTTAGAAGCCTGGATGAAATGCTCTTTTGAAGATCAAACATCAAAGAGCGGCCGGCTCTTTGGAGCGTAGATTGATCTAAATTATTTTTGCATTGAATCTACATTACATTTGTAATCCTGCTGGGGGGCGGGGATATCCAGTTTAAACCCTACAAAGGATCAAGCCCTGGGTGTGACATTGAATAAGCTACAATTACGTCAATGGTAATTATGTGAGTTGATACAGTAAAATGCAAGCAATCTTGCTTGTAAGTGAAATTTCAAGAGGTCTTAAGTAATCAGGAGGATTACCTAATCCCCTATTAAGACTTGGCTAAGATATGGCATGATGTTGGTGTGCTGCCAAGCTAGTGAATGATTCCACCTAACATTAATTAGATAAGCACAATTCCCCAAAATATGAGAATTTAAAAGTGCACATTTTAAACAAGCTCAGAAGATTCAATAAAACAAAATGTTTGGTAATCTTGGTGCTGCAGCAGTGCTGAATCACAGTGACTGTAATGGTGACTCTTTAACACTGACTTTCAAGATGGAAAGATGAAGACTGATGTGTGTGTGGTTGTGGGTGTGTATGTTTACCATAATATGAATTTTTTAAGCCACTGGGCTTACTCAGAGGAGGCGAGACGAGAGGAGAGGAGTATAGGAGAGGAGAGGAGAGAGAAGAGGAGAGGATGCCAGCACACATATGGTGCGAAAACACCACATAATGCAAGCACGCACTAAACAGCAAGTAAAAGCTGGTGTAAGCTGACAATAAGCTGACATATAGAAATTTTAAGCACCCATACAGTAATCCACACACAGCCACTCCCAAACAAATCTCCACACTCACACACAAATTACACCAAACAAAGTGGCTGTCACTCCGCTGCCTTTGTGACGATGAAATGCATTCCTCAAAGCAACGATACCATCGTGAGCCGTCTTAGTCAGAGCGTGTTTGCAGTATCAACTCGGGGCCTTAGCATTTACGTCATGTGTGTTTGTGGAGAGAAAACTGCTAACACTTCAGGGAGGCATTGAGAAAAAAAAAAGAAGGAATGATGCCAGTTGTGGAGACGACTGCCAATCATTGTCATCTTGAAAGCAAAATGTCCATTAGATCATTTCTAAATTATGAAACAGAACACCGGACATCAGGAGTGATCACAGACAATTATAACCCTAGATGAGGGTTAAAAGGGGGTTAAAGTATCCACACGAGGTTTCCAGGATGGGTACAGGAAGAACAAAGGAGGGAAAGGTGCAGAAGAGATGACAAGTGTGGTAGATTAAAAAAAAAAAAAAGGATGAGCCAGATCAGAAGATCAGAGAAAAAAAAAAGGTTCCTTCTGCGTAACGGCAGGGCAAGAAGTTAGGGGTCAGAAATAAGTGAACTGAAACTAGTAATTCTGTGTGGTTTAATATTCTTATGCAAATTCCTGTTTTATTTTAAATCCTCCAAGTATGACACTGAACATGTAGGGTACGTGGACCATTCACAGAGTGCATGTGCCCTAGATCAGACTTTTGTACTGCACGTTGTGTTTAGTCAGGCAAAGCCAGGCTGTTGTTTTGTGATCGTGTCTTCAGCGTTTGGATGCAGTACTGTGCTATAAACCTGATTTTTTCTCCCAAGTTTGTTTAAAACAAACAAGTAAACATCTAAACGCTACCTAAGACTGTGTAAAGTCAAGCTGGTACTGACAAAATAAGTGCACATGCTGGAGTCATTTCCAGTATACCAGAAGCTTAATTTAAAAACTGGAACACTTTTTGACCCATTTCTGTGTAAAAGGAACATGCGCGCCTTGCTTAAAAGTAAAAGACTGGTCTATTTTTACATTTGCAGAGGAGAACTCAGTGGCATATGTGAACCACATACTGTATATTCTGCTCTCAAGCCTCATACAGCAATGTTCACAGGTTAATGTGGCAGTAAATACATTGATACACTGTGAGTAGTACACTGGAAAAATTGCACACTAATGTTTATCTACAGTAAAGTATGCTGATCCGCTGTAATGGCCAATTCTGATGCATATGCATGTTGGCCTCTGCAAACACCGGGGATAACGAGTCAAGTGAGGAGTTGATTTCCCGTTTACAGCCTGTAACAGCGAGAGAGAACCAAGCCACAGCAATCAATGACCTAGCCTACTATAATCAGTAATTACTGGACATTAGTGCATGAATATCAGCTGAACAGTATTAGGTTCTGATATTTGCCTGGTTCTTTATTCATTTGTAATCTTATTATAGTTTTTGAATAGATGAAGTATAGCTAACAGGAACAGTAGGATTAATAAGAGTCCTGAGCTAACTTAACTCCGGAGCCTCGGTGGGGAGTCACCTTAGGCCAGGTGGGCTGCTGGGCTTGTAACACACTGGATGAAACCCTTATTAAACAATATTTAATATTCAACATCTTTTGTATGGAATTTCATATGCTGCCCGGCTGCTGCAGCATCTTCTCTGTGAATGGTCAGCATAGGTTACAGATTCAGCGTAGTAGGTGAAAACTACAGCGTTCTTAGAGGTGGAGGATTAAATAATTATACTTTTACTCTTGTTTGAAATATGCACCTTGTTAAACTCAAGGGCTCTGTCTCAAAACTACAAGTACTGGCTCCGTTCTAAAAGTGTGTGCCTGACAGATCTGGAGCAACATCCCTGGAGTAACTCTGATGGAACTAAAACACCCTGCTTCCATTACGTTTTCAGAGTATTCTCGTGACGCCGTACTTCGCAAGGATCATCCCGGCCTGTCAATCAAGCGAGTGACACCATTGCTGTGACTTGTGCCTGGCTTTTTCTGTCAATGAAATATAACTTTCTGTATACGCTGTCATTTTCTTTATGTGACATGGCAGCTGTTGCCGCTCAGAAGCTACTCAGCCTCTGTAGCTCCTAACAAGGTGCTGCTGTTGCCGTCATGTAAAATGCATTACCTCGTGTACACCAGAGCATTTTTAACAAGAAGTGCCTACACGACACCTGACTGCTGTTGAATAAAAATGATTTATGAATCGGCACCCACTGTGAATAAAAAGTTAGTGAAGGAAGGGAGTCTCAAATCTATTACACCGAAGGAAGAAAGGAAACCATAAGGGATGGACCAAAAAAGAAGTGACAGGGCAAAATGCATAAATAGCATGCTCACCATATACTGGACAGTAGAGCTGGACTTGCGTTTCTGTCCTCAGGCAATTGATGGATGGATTTATTGATGGATGAGCAGATGGTAGAAGAAGGAGGAATGGGGAGGAAAATGAAGTAACCAAAAACAACAACAAGTGAGTGTACTTTAAAAAAAAAATGAAATTAAAAAACAAAGAGCAAAATAGAACTTGTCAGCATAAACCAAAAGCTGTACACTTTGATGGCAAGTGGAGAGAAGTTCCTATACAGCTTAGAAAAGGCAGAAGGAGGAGCAGCTCCTTCAAAGAAGTGAAAGGAGCAGTGGTTGAAACGAAGGCGATCAGAGAGAGAAAATTAGAAGAGGAGTCAGCTCATGGAAGAGTCAGAAGGCAAAAATTCAACCTATTGCTTCGGGGACAGTGAAAGGGAAGACGGCACTGTAAGAAAATAGCATGACAAGGAACTGCAAGATTTATTATGGAAGCGTTTTCCCAGACTTCATCTTAAATTTAAAATCACAACTGGCTTGAATTTTGTTGTTAGATGTTGCATTAATGCATCAATAATTTATCGGCACAACAATGGAGACCAAAATAAATGTTCTGAATGTTGTTATTTTACATTCTTCTAAAACTGTTTCGCAGCTTTTAATCTAAAGAAATCTGCACATTGTGTATATAATAACTAGTGTAAACTTAATAAGGATAAACAGTGTGTCATATAACAACACTGTTTAAAATGCAGGATATGTGGGTTCCTTTGAGCAGTAGCTGGCGTCGAAGGAGGTGAAAGGTGGTGGACAACCAGTGCCAGAGAGAGACC